TCATTTGAACCCAATCGAAAGGAACGGATCTACGTACGCCAATGTTGTAGTGAATCTTTTTTTTTTTAAAAACTTCTCAAACTTGGGTAGTTCACCTTTTTTTAAGCGTTGGCGCTTTCAAAAGTTTAGAAGCAAAATGGGTTCCTTATAAAGAAGAAAACATTCTTTTTATTAAAAGTATATATAAAAAGGGAATTTTATGTTCACAAGTTTATCTTTTCTGAACATGGAATAGTTTTAAATGACTGATTTGGGGGAGGACAAAACCTTGTTACATTTTTTCTTCTTAGATCATTTACTTAAAGATGTGTTTGCGCAATCAAGACTTAATTCATTCTCTTTGAAAATTTCGTTCGAGAAAAATAATAAAATTAGACAGAGATTCAGTGTAGAAAAATTTAGACATGAATAAGTAAAAGCGATTAAATCAACTATTAAATAAAATTAAATATAATATGGTAATAACAATTTGTATGCCTGCTTATTTTTTTTATGGAAAATTGGCATTTTCAGGACACAAAAGTACTTCAAAGAACTTTGAAATATAGTACAACACATTAATAAATTAAATTGGAATAAATAATGGGATGTATAAAAGAGAAAAAATTTGCACACACAAATTTGATTTACAAATGATTTATCAGATTTTATTTCATAAATAACTTTGATTTTGAAATGTGGCATTTGAACCAATAAGCATGTGTGGATACTGAAAATGTAATGAATATATAAGAATTTTATAATTTTCAGTATGTTTTCTTATTGAATAATAAATTCTGACAGTCCAATGCTATAAAACTAGGGTCTAAGTTTTCATAAAAATTCCTCTGTTAAATTAAAGAATTAGTATTCGTTCCTTTGTTTGAAATTAATCAATTTCTTGACTTATTAATAACTTCGGACAATGGTAAATATTTAGAAGAGAAAACCTTTTTAATTAACAACGAACATTTTATTAGCATTCTAAAACACTACAAAAAGAATAACATTCCATGCGTTATCACGCTCAAAGCAATATATAAAAAAATCACTGTTGCCACAAAAATCTACATTATAATGAACATATTAAATTTTGTGTATTACTGAGTTCGTGCACGTTCCTGAACATCTCCCACCTTGCAATTTTAGGAAATTTCCACATTCTCACTTTCATCATTTCTAGTTCTGATTCTTCAGAGAGACCATTTATCCGGTTTTTTTAAGCCAATCCGGCCACTCCACCATATGCTCTGTAGCAACATTTTGGCATGCCACCCTCTAGAGGGAAGATCGCTGGATTGCTTGAGTTTGGTACATAATGCCAGTCGTCCAGATTTGGCATCTCCTTATTTCAGCTACATGATTTGTCACCAAAACACTCCAGTGGGAGTCTTTTTTGATCATGTCAGAACTTCAGACGAGTCATTCCAAAGGTACATTGTAGGATCCTAAGTTTTACACGTTTATTTATTTTAATCTTTACTGTCACTTCTTATTTTCTACTTCCCCCAGAATTAAAAGCTTTAACTTATTTATGCAAATTGTCTTGCTAACGCCAAGTACTTAAGTTGTGGCTTTTTTGCCAAGCAAGAGAGAGGAAAAGATTATTAGAAGCAGGGCCGCTTGCCATAGTAGTTTTACTCGGTGCTGGTTGCTTCAAGGCCAGAGGTTTAATCCTTGATAATTTTAAACGTATCGTAGTGTTAGCACTCTCTGTACTACATACGGATTTTTTTAAATAACGGCCAATCTTAAAGTTAGGCAACTTGTATATTATCCAAGTTAGTTTTAGTTAAAGTTTTAGTTATCAGTTTTATATTCTTACGTTCAGACCACAAGTGGTTGGTCTCTGTATTCCGAAGTTCCGGAAACCTCTGTAAAGATAGAAAAAATAAAGGGTTTCGTATACCCTTCCTGTGTGTATTGTCTACTTCACAATTTATTGAACATAGCTTGAGTAAGCTCCCTGTTCCGAGTCAGGATAGTTCATGTTTCCAAAGTAAGTAAAGAGGAACACAAGTCCTGATACACTTGGCACTTTGTCAATGTAAGAACATCAGTGACTTGACGATACAGCCGAGTAGCTATAAGTGCTCCAAGCAACTCTAATCTAGGAATAGTTACTTCTTTGGCAGGCACTACTCTTGATTTACATAATACCAATTGTATCAAAAGTTTTGGAAGAATTTCTATTAAATTCGGCCCCATTTCGAGGCAAGCATTCAAGGAATTCCCATTTTCATCCTTCAATGATGCATCAATTACAGGTCGCACTTTCGTAGTCAGACTGGAATCCTTGATTACTGCTTGATCAGATAAATAGTGACCAGTATCACTATTATTCAGAGCTATTTCAATTAAACCTTCCTCGTGCCAGCCTTTAATAATACCATCATATTCTTCAAAAAATCCCATCTTCTGCAGTCTTCGTGTATTGGTGAAAAGTCTTTTTTCCACTTTATTTTTATTATCTTCAAGAATCCGATGACTATCCTTCCAATGCAAATAGACTTCATACACCTATTGCCCTCGATTACTTTAATGTTCTCTAGGAAAAATTTAATCGTTTCATTTTCTAAATTCTCCTTAGTCTTCACTTCCTCCGGATCTTTTATGCCAATTGTCTCTAAATTCCCTAGTTCTGTGAGATCCAAATAACAAAGTCCGACGGTATCAAGCAAGGTATTATGACTTTGCACTGGGCCTTATAGGGTCCAACCTAAGGCTCCTATATACCGTTCGGCTATGTTTCGTTTTCAAACCGTTGTTCCGTTTTCTTCAAATAGCCATTCCGTCCTGTCGAAGGACGCCAGTTGTTTGAAATTAATTAATTTCTTGACTTATTTAATAACTTCGGACAAATGGTAATATATTTAGCAGAAAACCTTTTTAATTAACAACGAACTATTTTATTTAGCATTCTAAAGATTACAAAAAAGAATAACATTCCACGCATTATCACGCTCAAAGCAATATATAAAAAAAATCACTGTTGCCACAAAAAATCTACATTATAATGAACATATTAAATTATTGTGTATTAACTGAGTTCGTGCACGTTCCTGAACATCCTTTTTGTCGATACATTAAAGATTTTTTAACTAATTACTCGCCCTGTCTTGCAATTAGAACCATCATTACATCCCTATTTTATCTAATCATTTCCTGAACATTATCATGTACATAAATTGACCTCGTCTTTGTAACTGATAATTATTACTTGCAAATTATTCTCTTGCTGGTGAACTATTAACAACCCTTTCTATTGCCAACCTTTTCTATTGCTATAACAACTTTCACTCTTGCTACCTTTATATTATATTGCTCGCCTTACGGAAATCAGCGTAAAATGGTGGTACCTGGGCTGATTGTGCGCATGCGCCAACGTAGGTGGTATGAATAGCCTGTTAGGTATTCGCACCGTCGGTACGATTAGCCACTGCGCGTCTTTAAAAAAGGCCCAAGTTGCGCCAACAAGACTGTTCTCTCAACAATATCCGCATTATCTATTGCAGGTGTACACATATCCACGCTATTCCTACGTTTGACACTGTGCAATTTAATTTGATGAGGACTGAATGTTTATCAGGCCTTTCCTAGGAGAAGAAAAACCACGGAACTCAAGTTGAAATTTCCCTTTTCATACTACAATCAGTTCAACTAACTTTGGCGGAACAGAATGATAATTTTTTGGAGTGAGATTTTTCACTTCGCAAATCTTTTCACTTCATTATATTCATTCATTTTCACTTCCTTGGTACCATTAAAAAATTAATGTTTGCTACCATTCACCATCGTTTTACACCATTCTTTACTCTTTAACAGCAGGCTGAAAGGCGTGCGTAAATGTGCAGAATGCAAATTAATGTGTATTTGATTTCTAAGTTTATTTGTGTTAGCCGACGTAATATTATTTATATGTTTCATTATATTTTTGAAGCAAAGAAGTGCATGCTATTAATATTAAATATATGATTCTTTTTGAGTATCATTCACTTGTAATAAAGTAATTAGTAATAAAGACTTCGTCATATAAAATTTTGTATAGTAAAATGGGTCTGTTCAAGAAACCGAATCGAAAATTTCGACAGCGCGAAGCTCGGCCAGACTCTGAGGATGAAAGTACTTCTGAGCTTCCAGAAAACAAGGCTAAAAGTGTTAAAACGGATGTAAAAGATAAACCTTCAACATCTGTAGAGGTAGATAATAATGCTTCGGCTTCTAATTTTTCAACGGTACCTCTGCAGAGGGAAAAAGAAGAGAAAACTGACGCCACTTTGCCAAAAGGTACAAAACTTTTGAGCTTTCACGATGAAGAAGATGGTAAGTGTATTATTTTGTATTAAAATCTTTTTGCTGTTTGTTTGCATTTGTGTATAGTACGAGAGTAAACTTCAATGTTTTGCCAACAGTAAATATAGCTGAAGTTTCTGTTAGTTTACAAAGCATAGGTGCACTGAAGAGCCCTATAACAATATGAGGCATGTCATATAATAAAGAGCAGGAATTTCGCATTATTTATGTGCGCGTATATGTTTGTGTATAAAGTTGGCATATTAATTGTACTAATTTTCATACAGTAATCACCAAATCTCAGTATTTATGAATAAAAAACAGATTTAAGTGATATCATATAAATAAATAGGGTTTATTGGAACTACTCTGATATGTGCCCTCAAGTCGCCAAATTTCTCACCAAACATTTTTGGCGAGAAACTTCACGCTGCCATATTACTATCTAAATTTTTTGTCTATATTTCGAACTTTAAGCCTAAAATGTCTCCAAAAACGCGTTTTTCGCACATGCAAAAACTACGTTTTGAAACACACGATTTAAGCTAAAAATCCGAAACAAAAACAAAAAATTTAGATAGCAAAAATGTAAAGTTTCTAACCAAAAATATTTGACAAGAATCCATGTACACAGCGACACGTTTAACTTAAAAAAAATCTACGAATGGCGCAATGTAGGCAACGAACGAATCTACGAGCTCGCACACCTCGCTTTAATAAAGTAACATAACAACAATGAATTTCAAAGAATACCATGTACACACTATTTAAACTTAAAAAAACATCTACGAATTACGCAATTTAGGCAAGGAACGAATTTATGATCTACGCACACCTCGCTTTAATAAAATAACATAATAACAATAAATTTCAAATAATACATGTACACAGTGTTCTGTTTCAAAAACAACAATAACGACAGAAATTCATACTAAATAACAATGAGCATAACATTCTACAAAATAAGAACAAGAATAAAATAAAATGCACTTACCATGAATTAATGCTTCTTCGAGCAGCAGATACTAATTTCATACTGCCTTTAACATGTCGCCACATAATCACTATCGTATTTACATGACAGCCAGACACACTCCTGAAAATTCATACTATGGTTCACAAATAAATAAAATCACAAATCCCTACTTCTATCATGCACAGCCATTAAAAATAATCTCCCAGACCCTCTTTCCACACCTCCAAATACCCACTACCCCTCAACAGGATGGCCACAATGATATTTCTTTTGCCGAACTTCAATTCAACAACTTCTACCATTTTATCTTTCCCTCCCATCTTCTCAGACACAGACGCGAATCAACGAGCTCCAGTGAAAGATTGTTCAACGTCAACAGGGTTGCCATAGAAAATGCAATCGCGTCAATAACCAGCGCAGAACATATATCGCTACATTTGGTGAAATTAGGGTGCATATCAGAGTTGTACCGGTTTATTTTTATAAAAAAATTAAAAGATATATATATCTATGTAAGATAAAAAAATATGAAAGCAAACTTCTAAATTTAATTCTCTAAAACCTCTTTTATTTTCTATTTCATTTGGGAACTTCATCTACCTGTCCTAAAAATAGCGCTTAAGTCTAAACTGCATCATTCAAATTAATCATACGATCTTACGTAACCTTTAATGCAGATGTCTCTTGACCAAATTGCAAACCAAAACTTTTCTCTTCATGTGGTTCCATCTTGCATAAGTACACGCGCCGTATTACTATCTAAATTTTTTGTCTATATTTCGAACTTTAAGCCTAAAATGTCTCCAAAAACGCGGTTTTCGGACATGCAAAAACTACGTTCAGCTTTGCTCTCTAATCTGCTAAGATGTAATTTCGCTGCCTTGCTTTGTATCTCAACAACATCAAAAATGTAAATCTTCTATGGAAAGGCACGACTAGAGTGCCAAGTGATTGTGGCCACAAATTATCAATTGCAAATAAAAATGCAATTAAATCTGCCTCAACTGTTAAGTTTTTGGGGCTGATCTTTGGAATATGGTAACTGGTGGTTTGGCGACATTTTGGAGGCGATAAAGGTTAAACTAGACTTAAGACTAAGATAAACCTAGGACTTTGGTAATAATGTGAGAAGCACTCAGTTCCGATTAGGCATTATTTTGTGTGAGGGAAATGAGAGATCATGAGATATGTCATGTGACATTAATGGACAAATTACAGTTGTTTAATCGGAAAAGGGGGGAAATCTGGAAATTTCGTATTTAGCTATATTCTGTGTTGTGTGAAACGTGACATTAATGGACGAATTATAGTTCTTTAATTGGAAAAGGGGGTTGATTTGGAATAGCTTCATTGTGTGTTGTTAGTTTTAGTAAATAGTGTTGATTAATTTTCGGATTGCATGGCACTATGTAAAGCTATGTCAGCTAGTAGATTGTTGGAAAAAGTATTAAGTAAATAAAAAGAAAAGAAACATGTCTTTACTTCGTAAAGACAAAATGGCGGTGATAAAAAAAATAAAGGGTTGCTGTAGCAGAGTTGGTCGCCAAAAAATCGCCAAGTTACCATAATCCAAAGATCAACCGTTTTTGGATATAGCTGAGTTAACATTATTGGCATACGACACTATTAGAATACTTCCTCTTCAATTTAGCATAACTACGCATCGACACTGCTCCGGCATTTCCTTGTGCTCATAATATTTCATCTATATAGAGTTCTAACTGATTAACATGTAGACAAATGCTACTCCTCTCAACCCTACAGCTACTAAACAACTAATGCTTTGAAAAACATTTAACTGCATTTACTGTTTTACATGTAATACACGAGATCTAGTATACATTGGGCAAACTAAGAATGGTTGATCTTTACATTACGGTAACTGGTAGTTTGGCGACATTTTGGAGGCGATAAAGGTTACTACCTGGGACTTTGGTAATAATGTGAGGAGTACTGAGTTCCGATTACGCATTATTTTGTGTGGGGGAAATGAGAGATCATGGGATATGTCATGTGATATTAATGGACGAATTACGGTTCTTTAATCGGAAGAGATCATGGGATATGTCATGTGATATTAATGGACGAATTAAGGTTCTTTAATCGGAAAAGGGGGGAATTTGGAGAAGTATCTGTGGATATATATTATTTTGTATTAAGCTTCATTGTGTGTTGTGTGAAGTAGTATGGTTGAATAATTTTGGGATTGTATGGCGCTGTCTAAAGTAAATTTGAAATTTTTAATACGTTTGTGTGATAATTCAAAAGAATTGGTGGAATGGTGCATGAGTGTAGGTTTAATTGCGGATAAGTATGAATGTCCAAAATGTGGGAATGAAATGAGATTGTGTGAAAGGAAGGATATTAGTGATAAGTTTGAATGGCAGTGCAAGAAATCTGGTGAAAATGCACATTTTGTGAAACGGAGTATAAGGAAGAGTACGTGGTTTGCTGAAAGTCGTTTGAGTATGGGTGAGATTTTATTGATTTCTTATTATTGGGTGAATAGATTCCAGTTGACTATTGGATTTTCAGATTTAGAAATTAGTAGTAGGGACTGCAGCTGATTGGAATTCTTTTTTGTAGGGAAGTGTCGTGGAATTTTGCGAAAATGATATGGGTATGCTTGGTGGTATGAATTGATTGTGGAAAATGATGAGAGTAAGTTTGGGAAGCGTAATAAGTATGAGAAGTAGGAGAGTGGAAGGAAAATGGGTGTTTGGTGGGATTGAAGGGGTAGTAATAAATGTTTTTTTAAGGTTGTGCGAGATAGAAGTAAAGATGTTTATTGAGTTTTATAAAGAATATATATTTTACCGGGTATATTAAATTTCAGATTGTTGGAAATCATATCAATGTTTGGAGGATGAAGGGTTTAAGCATCTTGCTGTAAACCATAAGTATTATTTTAAAGATCCGGAAAGTGGTGCGCATATGAACACAATAGAGGGCACCTGGAGTGGTATAAAAAGTGCCATTCCTAGGCATTGCGAGAAGGAGAATTTTGCTTTTTATTTAGCGGAGGAAGTTTGGAGGAAAAATTCGGAAAAAAAATCGTTCAGTAATTTTATTGAATCCATAATAAAAGTGTATCCACCATGTAAGGAAGATTCGGAAGAAGATTAGGTTAGTTAGACTTTATGTGAGTAGTATTTAGTTCTGATTACGCATTATTTTGTGTGAGGGAAATGAGAGATCATGGGATATGTCATGTGATTTTAATGGACGAATTACTGTTCTTTAATGGGGAAAAATCTGGGAATTTTGTATTTGGCTTTATTCTGTGTTGTGTGAAATAGTGTTTGTGAATTTTTGGATCCCATGGCCGTAAGTAAGTAAAGTGAATTCGAAATGGGTATTTAGTGGTATTGAAAAGGATAGTAAGAAATTTTTTAAGGTTGTGTGAGAGAGAAATAACATGTTTTATTATGTTATTATTTTACGTGGTATCTTGCTTTGAAAGATAAGTATGATTTTAAAGATTCTGAAAGAGAAGGAAGAAAGTGTCCTCCAAGTAATGAAGATTCTGAAGGAGATTAGGTAAGTTAGTATTTTTAATTATTTTTATGCATTGTTGGAAATGTAAGGTGGAAAGGAATTTGGTATTATTGGGAAAATTTTTTAGCAATGATTTAGTTTAAAGTAATTAGGATTGTAAGGTAATTTTTTTAATTGAATGTATGTGCTATGTATATTTTAAGTGGTTTTTGAATTTAATTATATTTTAATGAAATGATAGTTATTTTGTGAATTTTATACTTGTAGGAATTTGGTGTATGTTTAAGTTGAAATAAATGTGATGGAAATAATTTAAATATTTGATAATAAATATTGTAATGCTTCATGTATGAATTCGTTGGTGACGTGTATAATGTAATAGATGATTAGAGGTAAAAGTTTTGGATATTTTTATTTATTTTATATGTGGAAATGTTCATATTGTAAAGGGTAAATACTTTTTCGCGATCATGTAATTTCATATATGTTCTTTTTACCGGGTTTAAAGATTGAGAAAATTGTCATGTATTTTCGTGAAATTTTTTTTTATTTATGAGATAAAAGCAGTGTACTGGATATAGTGAAGAGTGTGCGCAATGCCCATTTTTTGTGCAATTCTGAGATGTTTTTTTTAAGTAAAAATAAGTCGACGTGTACATGGTTCAGTGATATTTTAATGAAATGATAGTTATTTTGTGAATTTTATGCTTGTAGGAATTTGGTTTACGTTTAAGTTGAAATAAACGTGCATGGAAATAATTAAATATTTGATACTAAATATTTGTATGCTTCATGTATGAATTCGTTGGTGACGTGTATAATGTAATAGATGATTTAGAGGTAAAGTTTTTGGATATTTTATTATTTTATATGGGAAATGTTCATATTTGTAAAGGGTAAATACTTTTTCGCGATCAGGTAATTTCATATATGTTCTTTTTACCGGGTTTAAAGATTGAGAAAATTGTCATGTATTTCGTGAAATTTTTCGAATTTATGAGAAAAAAGCAGTGTACATGGATATAGTGAAGAGTGTGCGCAATGCCATTTTTGTGCAATTCTGGGATGTTTTTTTAAGTAAAAATAAGTCGGCGTGTACATGGTTTATGTGTATGTGTTATTTTGAAAACGCGTAAGGTGTATGGTATATTGTGCACTTTTTCCGACTTTTGCAGTGAATATTTGTCATGATTAAGCAGTTTTGTTTGATAAAATTTCTAGCATAAGTGTAATTCGGCTAGTAGATTGTTGGAAGAAGTGTTCAGTAGATAAGAAGAAAAGAAACATGTCTTTACTTCGTGAAGACAAAATTGCGGCGGGGGAAAAAAAAATAGAGGGTTGCTGTAGGGGAGTTGGTCACCAAATTTTCGCCAAAAAATCGCCAAGTTACCGTAATGTAAAGATCAACCCTAAGAATAATCTTAACATTAGAATAAATAACCATAGATCCCACATTAAGAAAATTTCTAACAACAAAAATAGTATTAATTCCACTACCAAGGAACTTCAGTATTTTAAAATTCATGTCTTTAATAATATAACTATCAAAATTTTAGATATAGCACCTAATCGTTAGACTTTTTAGAGACTAATAGACCTTTTTAAGGAATCTCTGTATGTTTTGCAGTAAGAATGCTTTATCCATATTGATTAAACTCTTCCATTAATAATAAATCTGCCTTTTATGCTAATGTATACAAACAATTCAATGATTTTAGTAAAAAAATGCAAGGAGGTAACCAGTGGAATTGGAAAAAAGTTATGACTTCTAGTGCTAGTTGGGAGATTCGGATGTTAGATCATTCTGAATATTGACATCCAGATTTTAGACTTTGTACTGTATTTATTTGGTACTTCTTTGTTTTAGTGGCTGCCAACCATATTTGGAAATTTTAGATTTATGCCAAATTTCAGTTATAATGTCACCAAGCTTGTAAAGCGCAAATGTAAAAATAAACAATATATAATAGTAACAATAATACTGGCATGTTGTTTTCTGAGAATTTTTTTAAGAATCTATTTTACAAGGCCATAATTTGGAAATTCCTTTCAATGATTCGTTAAAAACTGCAGTTGTTTCATACATATTTAGCCATTTGTTACACCATTTCATGGAAGTCAGTTTTTTTTCCCAAGAATATATAAATATAATAGCGGTGACGAATGTTAATCTAGAACCACTGAACCAGTTTCCAACACAGAGGCACTTCTTTTTCCAGTTCTTAACATTGTACCTACAAATGCTTTCATTGTTAACATAAGTTTCACGTTGTTGCCATTTTTGCATATGCATTTGTCAGGTAAAACATCTCTTCCTTTAAAAAATAATATGGCATCCACCTCATTTTTTGAAGAATAAAAGTTAAAAAATAAATTAAAGAATGTTAATGTCATATTTACACATACATGCAAAAAAGTATTGAATATATTTTTAATAAACAATGCAATTTTTAAAACCTCATCAAAAATTAATAAAATAAAAACATGTGATGAGAGCAAAAATGCAACACAGTGCTATATATACGACTATGTAGTCAGGTATAAGAATACGCAGCTAGATTTTGTCAAGATATCTTAGTTGATTGGCGATTCAGTCTCAGGGATTGCTGTAACAAAAAAGTACCATATATTATTTCTTTGTTTAGGAATTTTATATTCATTTTATTGAAATTTCAGATGGTGAAGTATTTAAATTAAAGAAATCCAACTACAGCAGACGATTAGCAAAGCAGCGAGAAAAAGAGAAAAAGAAGAAGGAAGAAAGTCAAGCTTCTACTAGCACTACTGCAAAGGAAGATCCTCGGGAGGATGTGCAGTGTGATTCCAATACTAACAACAAAAGTAAATCCAATGTAAGAACTAAATAGTTCCTTTTACATTAATATTTCCTTTAAATTTTACTGTTTTATTTATTTATTAGTTCAAAGGAGCAATTTGCCGAGAAGGGCTATTAATTTTGTTTTGGCATTTTGCGTTGGTTCTTTATAAAAGGCGTTTCACTCTTCAGATTGTGGCCTCCAAATATTAGAGCCCTGCATTATATTTAAAGAAATTAAATAATTAAGAATTTGCAGGAATGTATGCATGTTTCTTGCACTGTGAAAAAACTACAGTTCCTAGAGACATCAAATTTTGAATAACGTAGTCCTTCACTCGAATATGGGCATGTGGAAGACCAAATTTGGAATTTGTTTTATTATCTATTTCATATTTTGTAAAACTTTAACAAATTTTTGATGAACAAACTCAATGATTTCAAAGTGAGCAATGGTGACACTGCACAGGGGGGGGAGAATTTTATCTTTAGTGTGTGAGACTGTGTATCAGAAGTTCTAAAGATATGCTGTTTTTAAATTATTTTGTGATATTGCTGTTGAATTGAATTTTATGGTTTAAGTGCAAAGAATATGATATTTAATTAATAAAGGTCACACACAAAATGTTAAAAAAATGCCCCTTTGGGCATAATATAAGATCTGAAAGCTTTCAGTTTTTTTTTAATTTGCAACAGTCCTTTGTTCTCTTTGTTAACAAATGGGCTTGTATTGACTTTATCAAAACTTTAGGTATGAATTATATGCATCTATTTTTTGCCATCAGCATGCATACTAGGAATGCTTTTTCTTTTTTATAAGAATTAGGAATGAATTATTTATTTTTAATTTTTATGCATTGCTGTTGAAAATTTTATGTACTGTGTTAAATTGTAGACAAGGTAGATTTTGTGCCCATCTCATATTTGTATTTTCTGAGTAATTGAAAGCACTATAATTAGTTAAAGTAAACTTTCAAGAATTTCATGAAACATTTAAATACTATGCTTATAGTTTGGTTGTCATTATTATTATAAATTTCCGGCCCACAACAGCTAATGGCATGTTGTTGCTTTGATAAGTTGGATAAAAAACACAGAATAGTAATAACTTGGTTTTATTTACTTGCTAGATAAAGCTTAATGGCCTCTTGTAAAAAATAGATACTAATGAGATTTATATAATTATGATTTCCACGGACAATAGTTTGTAGTTGTTGATCAATTTGGACTTGTACCAATTATTAAGACAGATTTAAGATGCTCATTGGTTAACTTAGATCTGTAATCATTCTTTGTGTACTTCATTTCGGAGAAAGTTTTTTCACACAAGTAAGTAGTACCAAAAACAGAAAACAGCACACTAGCAAATTTATGCAAATTATCAAATTGTACCAGTGGAAGACTCTTATAAAATTTCAACAAAGATGAGTTTGGAAATTTTTTCTTAATTATATCACTGCACTGTAAATGAGTAATTTTCATTTGAAGTTCTGGGCAAGGGTTTTAATGTCAGTATCTAAAGGATTTTGAAAAATCTTAATTTCATTCGCAATGATATCAAAGTCTGAGAAACAAGTATTAAAATTTATCTTTAAAGCACTCAAAGCTTCAATTGCAAAATCGATGAGAAATTCAGTCACAGTACTGTAGCTGAATATTTCACATGTTTTAAAATGTGTGAAATATTTTTACATAATTGAGATTGAAATAGTATTATTTTCTGCTGTAATGATTTGGTATTAAAATTTCTATCGGTGCTCGAAGTTAAAAAAAGCGCTGAAGGACTTTTCTGCAACTAAGCCAGTGTACGACAGTATGATATGGTAAGTCATTTTCTCCTATCTCTTAAATAAACTTGTGGAATTGTTGTTGATTCAGCCCAGTGGATCTGTTGAAATTAACAGCTGATATGACTGGTTTTAGAACTTCTGACATATCCAAACATTTCCTGCACAAAGACTGTTGATGAATAGTATCATATAAAATAATGGTATCGAACCACCATCATTTTCTACTGCCTTTGACACAAGAGCAACCACTCTAAAAATATCTTCCCTAGTAGTCGTGTCATGAATACTATCAATATCAAGTTCTTCATATACTTCATAGCTTTTATCTACTCTTAGAATAAAAGTCAACACCTCAGCATTATTTGACATATCCGTTGACTCATCCAATGCCAGAGAAAACCACTCAAGATGTCCATTTTGCGAGACAGTTGAGAAGATATATTTTCTGCTATGTCTTCAACCCTAGGAGCCATGGTGTTTGTTTGACAAACTGACAGTTTTGAATTAATTTATGTTTTTGGGGTACATTTCTTTGGCTACTGCAATTACGCATTTTTGATCATTTCTCCATCGGTAAATGATTTCCCACGTTTTGTGATTTCAAGAGCCACATGAAAGCTGGCACGAGTTGCAGCCTCTTGTTCAGTATTGTCTTACGTAAACAAATATTGCTGCAATTGAAATTTGCGCTTAACCTGTTCATAGCAAGTGTCGTGTATATGCGATGCAAGGATTCCACTCTTACCAACCCAGCATTGCGTAAACATAGTATGAAAATGGAACAATTTTATTTGAAATTTTAAATGCCAGTAGATGGTGCTAACTGGTAATGGTTTTCACATTGGTTAAGTCATGTGGCTTTCGACCTTCATGTATGAGCATCAGTTTCTGTTTTGTGCTTCTGGTTTTGATAAATTTATTGGTGTAAACAAACTGGGAATCACAGCTGTTTAAGTTAAAGACATACTGGCCTGTTTGTTTATTTTGTTAGGAATTCCCCCCTTTTTTTTTGTTGTTGTTGTCTTCATTTTTATTCTTTCCATTTTTAGTTATTAGAATGTGGGGAAATGCATTCAGCTCAATGTTTCCTTCCTCTTTTTTTTTTTTTTTTTTTTTTTTTTTTTTTTTTTTTTTGTTAGGAGAATGTGGGAAAACTCATTTAGCTGACTATAATGCGTGTAACATTGCCGAACTTCCATGATGGAAAAACGCGTACCAGTTATCCAGTTTATTTTAAAACATGAGATTAGACTTTCTTGGTTAATTAAAAAGTAACTGTACAGCATTATTACGGAAGGAAAAAGATATCAGCTTTGTCGATGCATGATGCATCTTACTTGTTCGGCATATGCTCGGCGAAAAAAGTCGCCATTGTCCTGTGTGTCAAATCTCGTTTTGAATTATTCCACTCACAGCAGAATTATTAAATTGGAATTTAATTACCTACAGATAATTATTGCTTAATTTTCTTTTACATTTCGTATTTGTAATTTTGTTTTCATGTGTATAGTATTTGTTTTCATGCTTATAGTTATAATTTTAGTATTTTGAATTTTGCATGTTTAATTTATTTCTATTAATGTGACATTCTTTATATTAATACATATTAATAATTAGTATATTACATACGTAACTTCAAAAATTGAGGTCATTATATTAAAATGTTGATTTTATATGAATTTTTCTGTAAAAGTAGGCTTAACAGCTGAAAATGCGTGGGCCGGTGGTGGCGTTTCATTTCAGGGGGTTTGGTCCCGTGACTGCGCTTCATTCTCTGCACGTTGGCCCTCAAAGGGTTAAGCATCAAATTTTTCTTTTCGTAAACTTCCTGTTTATGAGTAATTTTGAAAATGTTTTGTTTTATAATGATGTTTAAAGTTACATTCTTTGAGAATGGTGTGGTTTCGTTGTAAATTAAACGTAATGCTTTATTGCTGGGATGAAATCACAAAATATTGAAAGTCCCATTGATCTTTGAATGTTCTGCACTCACTGTCTACTTTTCAATTCTTTTTCATATTAGTAAATCACACATGAAAACAATAAGTCAAATAAAAATTATGTTATATATGGGTGTTTGGAGGATCGAAGATGTCTTTTAAACGGGGTTATGCACTACTTTATTTCACAACAGATAATTGCGCTTCCTTCGACTTCCCTAGAATTTAGTTATGCTGCGCTTTCGAAAGGACTACTAGCACCATCTGTTAGCAGTTTCGTATAGACTGTACTGCTAAGTAATGTGCCTGCCTTCTAATTTTTCAGTATATGTATTAGAATTTTAAAGATGGAAATCTGAAGTATTAGAATGAAGACATAAACCTAATCAAATGCACACCTAAGCATTAGTTTTGTTTGCATTTATAAATAAACTTTATTGTATTTTGAATTATAAACTGTTCCACTTTCTTATTATTCCGCAATTTCTTACCTTTAGACTAAAAGACTCACTTTTAATCCAGTTTGATTTTAATTTTTTTACTAAACAATGTTTCTAAAATAATGTGGTTACTAGAGCTTTCCAGTTAGTTGGATGCTGGAAAGTTGAGCTACTAGTGTATCATTATTTAAAAAATATGTATTGTATTTGATTTGCATATATATTCTAGGAGTCATGGAATATTCTGTCTGGAAATGATGCTGAAGATATGGAAGTTGAATCAGATGAAGACCAAGAGAAAAACAATCCTTTCAAGAATGTTTTACAAAGTTAGTCAAGTTTACAATATAGATTCATAATAATCAATTTTTTTTGGTTTACTTGTCTTTTTTTTTAATATAAATTTCCTTAGAAGTGTTTGTTCTCTATAAATTTGTTAATGAGTGAAACTGGTATTAGAGGTTAAAATTTTAAATTGTCTTGTAATTCTTCCATTATGTGCTTGCCACATTTTTTAGCCTGTATGAGAAAGAAGCCAAACACATTCCAAGACCCAATGATAGCACTGTCTGGAAACTATGTGTGTGTCTGTGTGCAAGTAACAATAATTAAATAAGCACTTGCATATTATTACGACAGTACTGCAAAATGCATGGCGGGTGCATAATGGAAAAGTACTGTTTTCTGTACTGCAAGTAAAATAAATGTACTCACTTCTGAACTAATTAAAAATGTGCATTCCTTTGCTTGACAATGTGTATATCAATATTTGCCAGTTAATTTAACACTGCTGCACTAATTAAAGCTTTATAATCCTTTACTTGACATTATGTATATGAACACTTCTGAATCAGTTACGAACTTTTACATTTTATATAACATAACAGAGTCCTAGCTTCAGTTTATATAGCTTATAATATCTGTCAAGAAAAGATGATGCTTTATTATTTGTTTACTTTTTTTAGGGAATTCTTTGTATTTCCTTCGGGAATTTCAAGATGTTTGTAAAACATTATTGAGAAAACAACGACATCTCACCAGTTTTTTTCAGGTATTGAAGTAATGAACAATATGAGAATATTAAAAAATCTGGCATTTTTTTTAATTAGTAAGGCATCATTTCATGCCAAATGTAAAAATGGCAACCTTAACAATATATACAGATTCATAAAAAGAATGGCTATTTTTTTAAATAGAAATAACAAAGACCAATATAGGAATTCACAGATAAAAGTATGTATCATTATTCTTGCTAGTTCTACAGAGAATCAGTAATAGTTACATTTGACAAAACTGAGCTCTTGCTGCCAGAAGTAAATAAAGTGAATAACTCTGAAGAAAGGAATGCATGAACCTTCAAACCAGCATCCATTCTATAAATTCTTTTTTTGGGGGATACAGTCTTTTGTTGTAATACCATTTTGTTTCTCCAATAGTAGTAATATCAATTTAATTTTATTATTTTCTGAACAAAGTCTTCCAGTATAAATGATAGTTCTGTCTTGAAAGAACATCTCAATGATGTTCAATGATATTTTGTTATTTGGCAGTTGCCAAAATTGCATAATGATGATTCCTTTTTTTGTGGGGAGGAGTTGAGCGTGCCATAAATAAACAGAAAACATCAAAGGGAATGTTACTAGATTGATGTTTATTCTTTCCATTTATTCATAATACAACATTGTATAACTGTTCGTGAGCCAAAATACACATTTTGCTACATTTGGCACACAGTTATGACTGGTGCCCCCCTTAGCAATAGAGTTACAGAAGCATTTTCATCACAAGTGAAATTAAATTGTTTGTATATTTTTAATTTTCTTTTTATATATTTTGGTGTTATTTTACTTCGGAAATATATATCAAGATAACAAAATAATTTATTTGACCTGTTTTGAATTATGGCTAGTGGTTATTTTGACTTTTTTCTTCCCTGTTTATTAGAAGGCTAAGTGTAGTAGCATCTTCACACAATTTGTTTGGATTTTCTTTTAATTTTTATGCATGTCATTGGACAGCTGGTTGGAACCAAAGTGAGGCTCACCCTTCCTAAAATGTTAATGTGTTAAACGAGTTTCATGTTTCTTGTCTGAGAGTTTTTGTAAGTTCTTTGCCTTATTCTATGCCATGTAGTGCTATGCTACAATTGTTCAATTCTTTGATAATTTTTTTTTAAAAATCTGTTCTTATTAATCATGCTGCGTAGAACTATTAGAAAAAAATATTTATTGAAAAAAGAAATGGTAAAAGATTTACAAGAATTATTCATTGACCATTCTGTTTCTGGAATTAGTTCTAATAAAGATATTTGTTCTGTTTTATATGATGAAGCTTGAATTATTCTAAATATACCAAGTGATACTGATTAACCAATGGACAGTTCTGTTATTCCTTCAAAAAGAAATTGCCATAATATTTCACCATCTGGTTCCAAGGAGGAACAAGACATTCCTTCATCATTTCCATATTGTTTTGATTCTAAAATTAAAACTCTAGGGATTAAAACTCTAATTGGGGAGTTCAACAAATTAGCTTTGAACAAGAATTTAGTTGAGGATAACCAAAAAGATGACAAAGGCATGGAACAAACCATGGTTCAGTTAGAAAACGGAAGCAAATTAAATGTTTTGAAAATGAAGAAAATCGATCAGAAAATGAAAAGAGAGAAAATGATGGTATAGTGTGGGAAAAGGAAATTATTTCAGCAAATTCACAGGGAAGACTTTCTCTTCAAAATGTTTTGCGAGATGTAGGTGGACCAGCTACTTTTGCTAAGAGAAAAGTAATTGATAGGAATATGGGAAGTGTACGAAAATTTTTTTCAAGTGGGAAAATATTTCAGTTAATGATCCAAATCCTGGAGTACAAAGTCCTTTAGTGAAACAATCCCTAGGGACAGATTTTCGGAAATAATGAAAGATTTGCACTTTGATTTGAAATCAACCAGATTGCAAAGATTACAAACTTATTCATTTGCTCTTGCTTCATAGTTATGGAATGCATTTATTAAGAATTGTTTATTGTGTTTCAAACCAAATGAAGATATTACAATTGGTGAACAATTATTCTTGGCAAAGACAGAATGCCGCTTTATTCAGTATCTGCTGCTATTCAGTAATCTGAATAAACTCAGAACAAAATTTTGCCTTTTTGCTTATGCACAAAAGAAAATGCATGAATGGATATCGTTATTTGGAAAAGGTTAAAGCAGACCAGTTGAAGGATCTATTAAGTAGCATGCCGTTTATTGGTTAATTGACTGCTTATGTGACAGCAGAAAAAATTGTTCCTTCAGACAATTTCTTTTCTTCTTTGAATTTAGTAAAACAATTTAGGAATAAAGGAATTAACTATGTTGGCACAGTCTGTCATGGGGGGGGGGAAGAGAACATGAATGTGAAATATTCATTATATTCTAAAAAAATTGTCAACTTCATCCAACTCTGGAAATTACATCAAATGGGAGGGGGACATTCAAGGTTGCAAGATTTTATAATATAAATATGGAATAAATTCCTTTGATCAAATACCCCAAAAATATTTTGGCAAGTCATCACGCCGATGTTGGAAAGTACATGCATATTTTAATATTCTTGATTTATTTATAAGGAGGTGATTTTATTTTAGATGTGTCTGAACAGCTGCAAGGAAATTAAATTTCTTCAAAGAACCTTTTTGTGACCGTGAGAAGCCTAAACGGTGTTCCTTCTGAAAATAAGCATAAACAATGTCATATTAAATGTAAAAAAAAAAAAAAAAAATGAAACTAAATGTTTGTGCAAGGTGCAATAAATATGTATGTGGGCCTTACATATGGAGAATTGCAAAATTAATCATTTGTGTAAATTGCAAAGACAAATAATGCAAGTTATTTATTTCATTTTTAATACTTGTGTTTTATTTTAAAAATAAGAAATAATAAATATCAGTGATTTTATTGTAAAAGAGATATTGTTGCCTTGTAATTCTGTAAAATAGAAAATAAATTTTAAAAAAACATTTTGGAGGAATTTAAACCCCATGACAAAAGTAAATATAATGAACTGAAGTTTTAACATATTTTATTAAAAAATTCAAAAGTGCTTGATTTTTTCCCCCATTAGCTACATTGCTGTCAAAGTGACTGCACACCATAGTGAGAGGTAAACTGCAAGTGATGTAATGCTAGTGGTAATTGAAAAGTATTGAAAATCTTTTTAATTTTATTTATTAAGATTTCATGTAATTGAAATTTATATTACAAAGGTTATATGATTGCAAAATAAAAAGATTTGAGATATAGAGCTAAATAGTTACGTGGAAACAGTAATTGTCTAGGAATCATAACAATAAATAATCCTGAAATGGACAAGTTTACATGTATGTATGATGAAACAGACTTACATGTAATGATATAGATAAGTTGATGGCATAGATATTGAAGATACTGATCTGTAATAAACAGCAAACTTGGCAGCCGAGGCACATTTTTTATACTATTGTGGTTAGAAGAAAGCAGCATGGTAGCATCTTAACGACAGCAGAAGCAAACTGTGTAGTTATCTGATATGGAAGCTTGTTCAGAGAAAGGTTTTGATTCTCAAAATTTTGAGTTAGGAATTAGCTATGCCATCATCATTATGTAAAAGTCATATGATGGATTAATCTAGAAATAATTCAATCTAGAAAATATTTTTAGTATTTTTAGAACTAGAGAGGGAAAGTATCCAAATGAAAATGAAGAATTAAGGGGCTATTGCTGATTCAAGTTATAATTTTGATTTATATATTTTTTATTTTGCACACACACATGTTAAAAAAATTTTTAGGAATTTTAAAGAAAATTAACCAAAATATTTCTTTTCTTTATATTACTTTATTTTTCTGAATATAATTTTGAATATGTGAAACAGAAAATATTTCTGTGGAAAGTTTTCTTTCTTTCTTTCTTTTTTTTTTTTTTTTTTTTTTTTTTTTTTTTTTTTTTTTTTTTTTTTTTTTTCTTTCTTTCTTTTCTTTCTCTGTATTTTTAGTATGTTTCTAATATTTTGCAACTTTTTATTTAGCTCTTTTGAGAGATTTAATTATCAAATAAAATTATGGAAATTAAAATCATGCATTTAGAACTATATTTGTGGATGTACAATTGATATTTGTTATAATGGTGGAATTAAAGTCTGCTTTTGACAGCAACTGATCCATCATAATGATGGTCTGCATCTGTGGAGAGTATATAAAATCCATTTTCAGTATAGTGACCATTCATTTTAACACCTTTTTTCTTTGATCTGTGAGAGATTGTTCATTGTGTTTCCATTGCAGTTCTATCTGAGCTCTTGTGAATGGCCTG